GCTGGGCCAGGAGAAACTTGGATAGTTAGATACATTGTATCTACCCAGTGTTTCAATTTGGCTGGGCCAGGAGATACTTGGATAGTTAGATACATTGTAGCTACCCAGTGTTTCAATTTGGCTGGGCCAGGAGATGCTTGGATAGTTAGATACATTGTGTCTACCCAGTGTATCAATTTGGCTGGGCCAGGAGATACTTGGATAGTTAGATACATTGTATCTACTCAGTGTATCAATTTGGCTGGGCCAGAAGATACTTGGATAGTTAGATACATTGTGTCTACCCAGTGTGTCAATTTGGCTGGGCCAGGAGATACTAGGAGAAACCATTAATGGTACTTCTAAGGAGGCTTGGTGATGGTGTTTCCAAACAAGGAGGGAAGAAGAGAGACTGCCATGGGTGGGCATCACCCAGCTCACCCAGAATCAGAACCCAGTGGTGACAAGAAAGCTGAATAAGGAGGCAGGTAGATTGAGCTGCCTTTTATCTCTGCCTGGGTACCTGAACAGAGACGATGTATAACTTGGCTCCTCTATGCATATCACCGGTTGCCTAGTCTCCAGATACACACTGCAGATCATAGATAAAACACCACCTCTATGGCTTGAGTCAATGCTTAAATGAAAGACAAACTCTTCTCCATAGAGACAGAGATACAGAGATACACATCTCTCTTCACTGTCCACTGGTTTGATTTCACCAGTGCATCCTGAATAATACACCTGGTATATTTCAATGATAGAGAAAACAGGTCATCTGCTGTTAGCACCTCAACCTGCGACAGCCGCTGAGTTGTCACAGGAAGGGTGAGCAGGACAAGGAAAGAACCGGAACATCCTGCCATCAACACAAAAGGTACTAACAGACAAAATAAGAGCTGAGGCTAAGATCTCAAGGCAAGTCACACAAGTACCAAGCCCAGCTCTTTATGACTGGATCACTTCCTACAAAAGCATTGTAGAGAGAGAAAGCTGTTCATCTTCAGAAGAAACCGAACTGGGAGCAGAGGGAAAGAGGAGGCAGAAAAGGAGGGCAGGAGAAGTGAGGGGAGAGGAAAAGATGTGGCACACAGCTGGAGAAGAAGACAGGAGACAGATAGGGCACCAGGCTGGTCCTGGTCGGTTTCAGGGCTAGGTTCAGAAGCCCTGTGTTTTCATGTGAAGGTCATAACTAGCAGCTTGATCTCAGGCCATGCAATCTCCCCCAGACTCCAGCCTGGGGAAATGGTAGCCATGCTCTTGGGAAATCCCTAGGTACAGGAACAGCAGCTCTTCCTCCAGACCTGCAGACACCCTGCACAGTGGCACCCTGCACAGTGGCACCCTGCACAGTGGCATGCTACGGCATCTCAGTAAATACAGAGCCATAAAAAAATAAAGACTTGTGCAATAAAAGAAAGCAGACAGGATAGAGGGGAAAAAAAAACTTTATGAACTATGAAGTCCTAAGCAGATGGCAAGGCTTGCTTTGCCTCTGGAAGCAGACAGGAAAGCTATTGCTTGGAAAGGGGTATAATCTTTACTTTGAAGGCCAAAGTCAGAATTCTAAAATTCTGTCAACCCAAAAGTCCCCAGGCATGTACTTTGAGCTTGTGCTGATGCCAAAGGGTCAGGTTAGTGAGAGAAGATCTAGAAGCTTTACTAAATATGTATTATCCTGGAAGAAGGGCTGAAGACCAAGAAAAACGAGCCTGCTTCTGCAAGGCAGATCAGAGCTTGCAGATACAGTAACAGGCCCTGCAAATCCCACAGTCAGGCCTTCACTCTGGTACTAATTCCTGCTTTAGTTACAGCTGGGATGCATGGTCCTCTGTGTGGCCAGCTGCTGGACCGACACCCACAAACGCTTTGTGACACTGTCTTTAGGGGCAGGACCAGCTGCTGCTCCCACCTCTACAGAACCCACAGTGATGGGCATCACGGAGAAAAGCCGGTGACCAGGCATAATCAGAGGCAGATATCATCAGAAGAGATAAAATTAGGCATGTTTCTTTTCCCTAGACATACAAATCTTTCCTCTTCATTTGCCTTCGTGTTTTGACGTTCATTGAACTCTGCCTTTAGTACTAAAAATATACTCCGGGTCAAATGCAATGCACCAAAACCTCAATATGAAACCACAAGAAATAGCAATAGACAAATGGGCCAATCCTGGGGGTGGCTCGAAAAGTCATGCTGACAAGGGTAGAGCACAGGAGGGCCAGGAGTTCTTCCGACTGTGAACACAGAACAAAGGACACACTCTTTCCATGTGTACCGTGTGGCTAATGAGTACTGTGGGCTCATGTCTAAAGGCAGGAAGACAGAAGCCCACAGACGTCCTAGCACGAGAGCCAAAGGAGGTCAATAAGGGCATAGTAGGCACAGAACTAAGAATAGTAGATGGGGAAAGAGAAGCTGGAGGGGGCTGGGGGCAAAAGGGCAGGGGAAAGGCCAACAAGTCACTCAGCTGTGTCTTTTGTCTATTTTCTATACAGCGCCTTTAGTTCTGATCGTTTATTAATAAAAAAGGGATCCATCTTAGCTCATGATTCTAAAAGGAAAGCATAAGACCAGATAACTATATCTGGTTGGTGTCTGGAACGTATCTTAGGGTACAAAGGTGTACTGACTGGTTTTGTGTGTCAGCTTGATACAAGCTACAGTAATCAGAGAAAGGCGCCCCAGTTGAGGAAATGCCTTCTTGAGATCCAGCGGTAAGGCATTTTCTCATTTAGTGATCAATGGGAGAGGGCCCTGTCCATGGTGGGTGGTGCCATCCCTGGACTGCTGGTCCTGGGTTCTATAAGAAGATGGGCTGAGCAAGCCATGGGAAGCAAGCCACTAAGCAGTTCCCCTCCATGGCTTCTCCATCAGCTCCTGCCTCCAGGATCCTGCCCTGTCTGAGTTCCTGTCCTGCCTTCCTTCAGTGATGAACAGCAATGCTGAAGTATAAGCCTAATCAACCCTTTCCTCGCCAACTTGCTTTTTGGGCAACAGAAACCCTAACTGAGACAGAAGGGATGTGAATTCATCCACAAGAAGAAGAGGAGAGGGATGAGTCAAGAGCCATAATAGCTGACCCATTCTATGTTAATGGGAGGGGACTATTCATGAGGGCTTCACACTTCACCTGGGTGTTGCTCTCTCTAATACATCATGTATGTACATCATGGACTTAATGTCCCAACTCACAAACTCTTAAGGGACATACTCATCCAGAGCACCAACCAGAAGGGGAGGAGCCCATCCTCTGGCATGCCCAAAGTGATACTAGTGGGGTGGGGTGGGGTGAGAGAGAAAAATACGGAGGTCTGAAGCCAGACAAGCAAGCCATCAGAAAGAGTCTCAAGAAATAAGTCTTCCCATTTGAAGCTATTCTTCCAGCCAGGTTTTGTGATCCTCGTGGCTCTCTATACCCAGTGGGCACTGGTCTATTTTTCAAGCAAGAAGGACTCCATGGTCCTGGCCCTTCTATTTCACAGAGGCCAGGTGCATGGGTAGGAAAGGATGGCTGTCCTACTGGCAGAAGCAAGCCATAGGCAGACAGGCTCATGGTGCAACAGCAGCGTTTTCAACACAAACAGAACTAGGTGCATGAATACTAATATGGGCACTGGGACTCATACAGAGCACCTCTGCCCCAGGACCGTGAGCCTGAGAACCCCAATCCCTGCTCTGTCTTCCTGCACCTAGCAACTTAATTCTAGGAAAATGCTTCCCTTTCCACCAGCACACAGACTTGCCACGGCATTCCTCTGTTCACCGAAAGTAGGTGACAACATTTATTTCCATGGCCATGGCAGCAAGGGGCAGCTGCTCAGCTCTCAGGGGTCTCTGCCCTGCTGACTGGACTCCCTCTGCCCTTCTCTCCCATTCGAGAATAGGTCAGCCTTCGAGGAGCAGCAGAGAATAGTGATGAACACAAAAGGCTAGCACGTTGCTATGTATGTATGAACGTCTAGCACCCTCCCCTGCTGCGTTTCATCATTTCCACATCCATTGAGAGACCTACCCTGGACCAGGGACTGTGTGAGTAGTGGAATAAACAAGACTACCCTAACTCTGATAAAGCTCTCTGGTGATGAGGAGTGGCCAGAGGAGAGATGGAAGTTACACCAGACTGCAGAAGCCACAGTATGACTGCTCATTCCTTACACTGCTTGCTGTGGTCCGGTTTAGGGAGCGCTCAGATCTGCTTAAGATTCACTGGAGATTGATTCACAGGTTATTGCCCAAACAGGCTTGGTGCTAAGAAAAAGACAGAGACAACAGCAGACCAAAACTTTTAATGGTCTGACATATAAAGGCATGCTGTCATTGATAAATTGTAAGTCATTAATCAAGAAAAATCCTCTTCTGTTTCTGAGGCATTTCCTCTGGCATAGCTGATAACTCACTAAGCTTGATCCTTCTTTTCATCCAGTGTCCATAGCACCCGAGTTGGAAGAAACTCATGGGATACATAGTTCTACCAAATAATACTCTGAGCTCAACAAGACTCAATGGAGCCCAGACAGGTAGGATGGGAAAACATAGGTTGGTAGGAAGCCCTTGGGCTTTATGTCTTAGCCTTACCTGAGTAGCCACAGACTTAGTGGGATTCCAACACAGGATGGAGGTAGAGGAGAAAACACAGATGATGCGAGGCAAAAAGGAAGATCTCACAGTCTGGGTGCCCCAAGTGTGTTCTGACCTCATTACAGGACCCTCCCACTTTCTGTTGCTCTCCCAGGGCAGTCGTCCACAGCAAATCAACACAACTGATTCTCCTAGGAGGCAGTGGGCTCTCCTGTTTGAAGCAGAGAGCATGTGCTAGACACTGGCCAAATAAATGGAAGAAATGCTGAGAGAGAGAGAGCAAGGCATAGATGAATGGGAAGCCAGCTTCTCAAGCTCTTTTAATTGCTACAGGAAGACCTATAAAGAACACTAAAACCAAATTCTGCCACAGAGACTATCCATTCCCAGAGTTAAATTTTGTTTCCACAAGGCTCAGAAAGAGACCATTCCTCACTTACCTCAATTTTCCAAATCCCCCAAATACTCCGGCTTTATTTTAGAACAGGATGATCCTCAAATCCTTCTGGAATGCTGAACAGGTATGCTAGGATAAGCAAGAAGAGGGAAGAGATGGGTTAGTATCGTGCTGAACAGATTGGGGAAGGCAGTATCTCATTCATTTAAAAAAATAAAAACTAAGAGCTGGCAAAATGGCTCAGCGGTAAAGACAGGTGTTGCCCAAGCCAGACAACTTGAATTCAATGATACAACCCCCATAGTAAAGCAAGAGAGCTAACTCTAATGGGTTATCCTCTGACCTCCATGCACACACCAACATACATAGACACACAGACACACACACACACACACACAAAATAACAATAGGTTCATTAATTAAGTAAATAAATAAAGCAAGGGAAGGAAAAGCTGGGCCCACTATGATAGAAAGAGCCTATAATCCTATACTTGGGAGACAAAGTTAAGGACTTCCTTGAGTTGAAGCTAGTCTGAACCGTATATTTGTGTCCAGTCAGTGCCATAATAAAAAAAATCAAGAAGCAAAGAAAAAAAGGCATTTATTGACCAATTGTTTTTTTTTTTTCCTTTTTCCTTTTTCTTGGAGCATACACAAGTATGGGCGTACACATGTGGAAACCAGAAGACAATGGCTGAGAGTCAGTTCTCTCCTTCCACCATTTAGGTTCTAGGGCTCAAATTCACGTTATCAGGCTTAGCAACAGGTGTCTTTACCAATGAGCCATGTTGTAGACCCTCTTAGAAAAAAAAGTGATCAGTGAGCAATTCTTAGTGCCAAGCCCATGTGAGGCCTTTTTCCCTCCTGTTTTGATCTCTTTATGTTCCTAAGTCTCATAGGCAACAAGGCCACAGCTGATGGCTGGTCTCACTGATTGCCAGGTCATCACCCATCAATCATGTTCCCCTCCCTACTGGCATTTTCACTCCTCTGGCTGCACGAGTTCTAGGAGATGAGGAAAATGAACCCTATCCTCTTTCTGATAACAGCCTGTGTCCAGTGCCTAGCCCCTTGTGTATGCAATGGAATGCTGTGGGCCGTGGAAGCTGCATCAGATGGACTCATTCACTGGTGCCAAAGCACTCATCTAGCATCATGGGATTTGTAGGCATCGTGACTTATGCAAACGACAACAAAGAATACCCTCTACTGCTGTGGGATAATCCTTCTGTACATCATAAATATGCATTGCTCTGTGAATAGAAAAGCTGATTGGTGGACAGCTGGGCAAGAGATTGGGTGAGACAGCCTGAGACAGAGAGAATGCTGGAGTGAAGAGGGGCGGAGTCTGAGGAGTCACCAGCAGACCCAGGGAGAAGTGAGACGAGCATGCAGTACTGAGAAAAGGTACTAATCCACATGGTAGAGTGTAGATAAGAAACACAGGTTAATTTAAATGTACAAGTTAGCTAGTAACAAGCCTGAGCTACAGGTCAAGAATTTATAAGTAATATTAAGTCTCAGTGTGGGTTATTTGGGAAACAGCTGCTAGGATAGGAAAACTTCACCTACACTCTACAGAGAATCCTAACCTCAATGATTGTAGAAACAGCTACAGGAGGTAGCCAGAAGGGACAGAGTAGTGTCCAGAACAAAGCATGGAAGGGCTAGGTCCTAGGAGCCAAGTGAGAACTTTCCTAGTTACCTGCAAAGTCCCAAGCAGGCCCTGGTGTCTGGCCCAGTGAACTCTGACAGGCCTTCTACTGCCCTTCCAGGGATAATGACATCAAAGTGTGGTGCCCAGAGAAAGACACATTACACAATTCCATGTGCTATGGGAGACCCCTTTCCTGTAGAGCAAACTTTCCCCTTCCTGCAAACTACCCAGGACATTGGCAGTAAGGACTCTAATGAGATTGGACTTAGTCAGCGCTGACTCAGCAAAAAAGACACTGGAAAGTTCCATGGGGAATTTGCCCTCACAATAGGAGCAACGGGCCAACTGGCCTTGCCATGGAGCTGGGAGCAGCAGGCATGGTTTGTAGCTTATATTTCTCTTAAAAAAACCTCCCCCTCTTTCTTCCAGAGACACGGTACCCGTAATCTGCTCATCTGAGGCCCTCTGGCTGTCAGTCATATTCTTCCTTTGAATGTGCTAGTACCACAGGCCTGCAAGGCTGAGTGACTTCCCACCTCCCAAACAAGGAGGGGTGGTTTAATTCAGCCAGTGCTCAGAGTTCAGTTACCAGCAGATGGAGGTGAATTCCCCTCCCCAGAAATGTCCTGCTGACTAGCAGCGGACTCAGAAAGATACCCTTTTGTCCCTAGCACCTCTGCACTCAGCAAGCAGCCAGCCACCCACGCAGCCTTGGCATTTCTACCAGGAAAGTACTTTTAGCCTTAGTGTCAAGCTGCAATCGCTTTGTGACCCTAAAAGGGCAGGAGCATAGTTTCCTGGATGTTGGTGGGCTCTTATCAGACCAGGCTGGGGACAGCCTACCGCTACCGTTTTGCAAGTCCTTCTGGGGAGCTTCAGCAAGAACTTCAGCTCTCTGAGCCGCTCTGTCTTGGTGTAAAATGAGAGAGTCCTAGCTGAGTTCAGAATACTTCGACATGCCCGGTGTTATTGATGCTTCCAAGCGCATGTTTGAGACTTAACTTCTTAGGTGGCCCCTAACAGGATGACAACATGAAAGGTCTCCCCGCTTCTTACGGCACTACAGTTATCCAGGGAGGACAAACTGGTGTGTGGCTTAAGGGAACACACAGCCCTGGTTTGCTCAACGCTGAGGTGGGGTGGGGGACAGCAATATGCAATGGCAGGACCAAACAGACAGCGTTTGAAAGAGGCCATCCAACCCTGAACAATAAATAGGTGTGGCTGGCTGAGTTGTTGGCTTCTAAGTGGGCTCTCTCTTTGGTAACAGGACACGGACAAGAACACAAAAATCACATGGCGCACTAGCTCCTGCTGAAAAAAACAGGGACCTCTTCCCAGGGCAGTCAAATTGATGAGTGTTTTGAATCAAGTTTTTAACCACATACAAAGCGTGATGATCTATAAAAATTAAGGAACTAAAGTCTTTAAGTTTCTCCTGGGAGCTTCAGCGGGGAAGCATGGAGTCCTGGGGGTTCAAAGCCTCAGGACACAGAGTAGAAAAGTCTCACTCTTGCCTTCACAAACAGAACTTAGAGAGTCGCACACCCCCTACAGAAATGAGCCAGGGATAAGAACGCACGCACGCAGGAAGACAAGACTCCTTTGTCCACGTTGAGGGGACCTGGAGGGTGGGGAGAGACCCAGCATGCAGCAGGCACCGCTGCTCACTTTCCTGTCATATCCCTGCCAACACTGTCCCCAAGAATAGGACATTAGCATACTTCCTCATACCTGACATGGCCAAGCAAGCCATGGGTCTGCTAAAGTCCTTTTGGTATTGCAAAAGGTCAATCAGCTACTGGACCCCAAAGTCTATGCCCTACTTTCTGTGACTAGGCAGAAAGAAAGCTCAGCGTCCATGACAAGCAGATCCAGGCCACTCAAGACCCTCAAGAGTTAAGAGGCAGAGGGCTGATCAGGTGCCCGATCTTTAGCCCTCCTGCTCTGGGACCTGCAGCAGGATTCTAAGCATGTGCCAGGTCCCTCGTCCTCTCCTCCTCATCCTGAGCCCAAAGACTGACATGTAATTTGTGCAAGGAAAAGGGAAGGTACACAATGGCTAATTAACTTAGAGATGGGAAGGAAACGCCTGAGTAAGGCAGGGGTCCAGGGATAAGGATGGAGACAAAAACATAGATACAATCCATCACATCAGAGACACCAGTTCTACTCCCAGCACTTGCTCCATCATCTGGGGCAACTGGCTGTTTGCTTGGACTGTGCGGCCAGTGGGCTGCACAGATGGTTGCCAGCACCTGCTAGCCATGGGTAGCGGGTCTTACACCCTTAGCGGGAAACAGTGAGCCAGTTAGAAAATAAGTGACCACGGGTGGATTTCTGACCAGGAGTCCATCCAAACACCACTGCAAACGGATCAGTGTGGTGGGCTGGGGCACCTGTAGCAGCCGAGGAAAGCTAATAATTGGCTGTGTGCCTAAGAAGTTCCTGAGCGCGGGCTTAATATTGGAATGTATTGGGAAGCGGTTGCGGGGAGGAGGCAGAAATCCTTAATAAATAAATAAATTAAAAAAAATATTGGAATGTATTGCTTTCCCCAAAGAAGTTCCTGAAAAAGGTCAAATCCAGACACTGACGGATGGTACCAGGAGCGTTGGCCAACACTGGCTCCCATGCTTGCGGAATTCTACAAAATCCAGCAGAGCTGAAGGTGAAAGCAACAGGACACTGGTTGCCAGGGTCGAAATTAGAACTTCTCTGGCCCTACCTTGTATTCAAAGACAGAGAGCAGTTACCTTCTTGTGTGCTGAGTAACATGCAGGATGGCGCACTGCCTGACTCTCGGGAGAGGTTTGCTAAGCACTTTGTTATTCTCAGGGTCTAACTGCCTTCACTCATTTATTCCTACTGCCTACTAAGCAGATTTCTTAGAGAAATGGGTTGATTCTCACAAAGGCGAGTGAGTGGTTGCTATTCCGGTGTCAGCTGTTTCAGGAGCAAGGCTGCCCCTACTCCCCGATCTCTCCCAAGTGCACCTGTTTCACCCAGCAACTTCTCCCATATTGGAAGGCAGATGCAGTTGCTCAACCGTGGACTTCCCAAAGCCCAGAAACACGGGGCTAAGCAAACATCTTTCTTTGATAAATTCCTAAGCCTCAAGTATTCTGAGACTTAGATACTTACAGAAAAGGGATCTGAAAAACAAATGGACCGAGCTATTTGCGTTGTTTCAAATACAAAAGATGAATGCATCACTGTGAGAAGCAGCGTTGAGCATTAAGCCGTGATCAATCCCATACAGCATCGGGCTTCTTCCCTAACACAACCGTCACTCACCGCACATCTCCCTGTTTTTGGAAGGTGGACGGTCTAAATCTGACAGAGCTGTCTAACCTTTTGATATTGCGATATGATGCTGCCATCTACAAAGATGACGGTCTGCATTAACAGCCAACCCGAGACTCAGACGGCCTGGAGGCCACAAGTGGGGCACACCTGGTTCCAAACAACT